TATATATATATATATATATATATAAACACACACATGCATATATAGTATATCAATCTGGTGAGTAAACTAAAAAATGTACTAGCCAATGGCGATTCAATTGCCAAGGTGTCCGTTGAGGGTCTAGGCTATTTGGGCAAATCTCAAGAAACCTGTCAAGAGCATGTCTGGGTCACATTTAATCTGAAATCAAAAGGAAGACATTTTATTTTGTGTAGTGGAAAGAAGCTTTTTTAGAACTATTTAATTAAATTTGCTTTATATTATGTGACTTTATATTTATCACAATTAAACACATTTTCCTTCACACTTCTAATAAACATAATAAAAAAAAATAATTCTTGTAATACACAAAAATATGTATTATTTAAATGTTAAATTATTTATGTGCCATAGTAGATTTGGTCAGACTTTTTATACTGATATTAATTTTAAAATACTATATCACTATGTTTTTATTGAATAAAGTTAAAAATCATTAATAACAGTGGATCTAATCAGCTTTGACAATCATGGTCATTTAAATTACTTTAATATTATAAATATATAATGTATATAGATATACATGCCTCATAGTAGTGTTGTATTATTTCGTACTCATTTTAATTAACAAACAAACAAAAAACTGTCTTCACCATATTTTTATTGGAAAAAAAGTGGAAAAATAACATAGCTGCAAACATTCTTTAAATAATATAATATATATAAGAGTGACTATTGACGCAAAAAATGCCATGTCTATGTATGTGTGTACAGTATATACAAAAACATATTATTTGCATTTTAAAGTATTTGTACATCATAGTAGTCTTGATTGTACAAACTGATTTCAGAAAAAATAATATTGAATAAAATGAGAAATTATTTTACAACTGTAATTAGGATCTAATTAGAATCACCATCGCCATTGATAATTATGCTAATTTCTAAATGACACTTTTTTTTAGATTATAATTATGTTTTAAAACGTATTATTTGGTCATTATAATTATTCTGCATGGTGTGATGTTTGTGGCACCTTTTACGTTGTAGTCATCTAGCATTCAGTATGGGCCAGATCTGAACTGACTCTTATATTTCTGCACGGTGTGTTTCAGGGCCCGTCCTACAATTAAGGACTGCTTTAACAACTCCTGGCTGCAGGACGCTTATCTAATGAGACTGCGCAGACAGACTCTCACGTTTACCACCACGCGCCTCAAGGAGTTCCTGGAGCAGCAGCAGCAGGTCAGGGCCGAGGTGGCAACAAAGCACAAAGTCCTTCTACGTTCCTACCAGAGCACCCCACAAACCCCATCCACCCCCTCAACACCCGGCACCCTTGCGGCACCCATCTCTCAGTGAGCTCCAGCACAGGACGTCCTCCAGAGAGATGAGAGACGGCTCCGGGGTTCTCCAGGATAAGGACAGAGAGAGACACAGCCTCAGGACATCCCAGCCCCTCTAAGCTGTCCTCGGTGGGCCCTTGAGGGGCCGGTTAACGTGTGATGTGTGTTAGCAGATCAAGCACAGGATCTTTTAGCCTCGACACCTGGGGTCAGTTCTGAGACGAGAAACACACACACACACACACACACAAACACAAAACCTCTCGTCCAAAAGCATAACGGATTTGAGTGCATTTACCTCCGTCAGCCAGCATGCACAGTGCAGTTGTGTTTTTGTCCAGGAAGATGTCCTTACTTTAATCTCTCCCGTCCAACACTTTTTTTCTTATGACTTTTTGACAAACCTATTTTAGCATTGGATCTCTAGCGAACCGTCAGGAACTTTGGACCCGTCGTGGCTGAGAAGAGTGACTGTATTTCATATACAAAGATCAAGAAGACAGCGATCTAGTCCATCACTTGACGCAAAAAATGTCATGTCAATGTGTATTTTTTTTGTGGTGTCTTCCAGTTGTGAACCAGGGCCTTGAGATTTGTGGTAAATGGTGTAAAATGTGTGGAAAATTGATCTTTTCTTGAACTAGTTTTTATGGCATAAGTAATACTTTTATTACTGCTAGTTGTTATACTGTAGTGATTATCATATATATATATATATATATATATAAACACACACATGCATATATAGTATATCAATCTGGTGAGTAAACTAAAAAATGTACTAGCCAATGGCGATTCAATTGCCAAGGTGTCCGTTGAGGGTCTAGGCTATTTGGGCAAATCTCAAGAAACCTGTCAAGAGCATGTCTGGGTCACATTTAATCTGAAATCAAAAGGAAGACATTTTATTTTGTGTAGTGGAAAGAAGCTTTTTTAGAACTATTTAATTAAATTTGCTTTATATTATGTGACTTTATATTTATCACAATTAAACACATTTTCCTTCACACTTCTAATAAACATAATAAAAAAAAATAATTCTTGTAATACACAAAAATATGTATTATTTAAATGTTAAATTATTTATGTGCCATAGTAGATTTGGTCAGACTTTTTATACTGATATTAATTTTAAAATACTATATCACTATGTTTTTATTGAATAAAGTTAAAAATCATTAATAACAGTGGATCTAATCAGCTTTGACAATCATGGTCATTTAAATTACTTTAATATTATAAATATATAATGCATATAGATATACATGCCTCATAGTAGTGTTGTATTATTTCGTACTCATTTTAATTAAAAAACAAACAAACAAACAAAAAACCGTCATCACCATATTTTTATTGGAAAAAAAGTGGAAAAATAACATAGCTGCAAACATTCTTTAAATAATATAATATATATAAGAGTGACTATTGACGCAAAAAATGCCATGTCTATGTACGTATGTACAGTATATACAAAAACATATTATTTGCATTTTATAGTATTTGTGCATCATAGTAGTCTTGATTGTACTTTTTTTAATAAACTGATTTCAGAAAAAATAATATTGAATAAAATGAGAAGTTATTTTACAACTGTAATTAGGATCTAATTAGAATCACCATCGCCATTGATAATTATGCTAATTTCTAAATGACACTTTTTTTTAGATTATAATTATGTTTTAAAACGTATTATTTGGTCATTATAATTATTCTGCATGGTGTGATGTTTGTGGCACCTTTTACGTTGTAGTCATCTAGCATTCAGTATGGGCCAGATCTGAACTGACTCTTATATTTCTGCACGGTGTGTTTCAGGGCCCGTCCTACAATTAAGGACTGCTTTAACAACTCCTGGCTGCAGGACGCTTATCTAATGAGACTGCGCAGACAGACTCTCACGTTTACCACCACGCGCCTCAAGGAGTTCCTGGAGCAGCAGCAGCAGGTCAGGGCCGAGGTGGCAACAAAGCACAAAGTCCTTCTACGTTCCTACCAGAGCACCCCACAAACCCCATCCACCCCCTCAACACCCGGCACCCTTGCGGCACCCATCTCTCAGTGAGCTCCAGCACAGGACGTCCTCCAGAGAGATGAGAGACGGCTCCGGGGTTCTCCAGGATAAGGACAGAGAGAGACACAGCCTCAGGACATCCCAGCCCCTCTAAGCTGTCCTCGGTGGGCCCTTGAGGGGCCGGTTAACGTGTGATGTGTGTTAGCAGATCAAGCACAGGATCTTTTAGCCTCGACACCTGGGGTCAGTTCTGAGACGAGAAACACACACACACACACACACACAAACACAAAACCTCTCGTCCAAAAGCATAACGGATTTGAGTGCATTTACCTCCGTCAGCCAGCATGCACAGTGCAGTTGTGTTTTTGTCCAGGAAGATGTCCTTACTTTAATCTCTCCCGTCCAACACTTTTTTTCTTATGACTTTTTGACAAACCTATTTTAGCATTGGATCTCTAGCGAACCGTCAGGAACTTTGGACCCGTCGTGGCTGAGAAGAGTGACTGTATTTCATATACAAAAATCAAGAAAATCCATCACTTGACGCAAAAAATGTCATGTCAATGTGTATTTTTTTTGTGGTGTCTTCCAGTTGTGAACCAGGGCCTTGAGATTTGTGGTAAATGGTGTAAAATGTGTGGAAAATTGATCTTTTCTTGAACTAGTTTTTATGGCATAAGTAATACTTTTATTACTGCTAGTTGTTATACTGTAGTGATTATCAATATATATGAAAACTATTGACTGCAATCATGTTGAAATCATCAGACAAGATGCTTTTTGTCTTTTACTAAAGTGTTTTGATCTAAAGTGGATTGATTTTATTGTAATATCGAAAGGCTTTAGGGAGTGAGTGGCTTTTTGCAAGAATTCCCATTGCATTGAAGCACATACGCTTTGGCTTTCCCTGACACCTAACAAATTCAACTTTTGATATGTTGCAGTCTTTGTGTTTAACACCAGGAATGTATTGTATATTGCAGATTTCAGTGCATACCGTAGCATACGCATGCATACAAATTCCTCTTCATAGCGTATGGTTTTAGGAGAAAACTCACTCCCTGTGAACACAAGAGAACGGTATAACGGCCGAAGTTGTCCTTATGTAGAGATCAGCTGGTTCAAGATGTGCCTGGAAAATACCTAGTGATCAATGGAAGTGATGAATGGAAATGTCTCAGAAAGCGCCATTTTTTTCTGAAGGGACATGTTAGCTGCTGCATTGAAAGTTTATGAGAATCTTTAATATATTATTTGAACGTTTTTGCTGTAAGACTGATTGATTTCCCTTTAAATGAGAGTAACTTTATGGTCATTATCTTTGCTCAAGTAAAAATAATCTCATTTAGGTCTAAATAATACAATATATATAGAGTTATTTATATAATATATTAAATGTATTGTCCACAAACAAATCTGAGATTTTTAATCTAAGTTCTTCAATTTATCTCCATTTACAAATGTAGATTTATGTCTAAAAATGTTATGAATCCAAAAAGCGGATTTAACTTTATTTGAAGACTATGAACGGGTGTTGGTCTTGATTTTATTTTATTAGAGACACCGTTGTATTGCTTACATAGTTTGTATTATTTGGATTTATTTCTGAACAGTTTGCATCCTGTTTGGTGAACATATTAAATGTATTGTCCACAAACAAATCTGAGATTTTTAATCTAAGTTCTTCAATTTATCTCCATTTACAAATGTAGATTTATGTCTAAAAATGTTATGAATCCAAAAAGCGGATTTAACTTTATTTGAAGACTATGAACGGGTGTTGGTCTTGATTTGATTTTATTAGAGACACCGTTGTATTGCTTACATAGTTTGTATTATTTGGATTTATTTTTGAACAGTTTGCATCCTGTTTGGTGAACATAGAGTCACAGAGTCGATGCTTGTTTTATTCTTTTTTATTTGTTTGTATTTGTTTAGTTGTTAATTGATCTAATAGACAAATGAGTGATTCACATTCAGTATACAGCAAAACAAACTTACAAGCAGCTAAGCAAAGTGAGAGAAGTGAAAAAAGTATCAGAATTTGCTCTTTGTGAGTTCAAAATAATTTTTACAGTTCCTTTTTATTGTGATGACAAACAACAGGAACTGACATGATAATGCACTGGTCAAAAGGTGTGGGAACGCCGCATGAATGTCCTCATTGTTTTAACACGGTCCTACTGTGTCCTCATCTGACCACAGACAGCAAGTGATCACCTTTGACCTTCTGTCACAAACATAAATATCGGCTTGGTTAAAAATAACGGTTTGCTTCGTGTTTATTGCAGTACTTACTATGAGGTTCAGTGCAAACTCTCTTCTGTTTTCCATCACTTTGCATAAATGCTAACACTGGGTTTGTTCTTCTATCCAATTTGTTTATTATTTGTTTTAACTTGGGTTATTCAAATTGATCAAGCTTCTAGTTTCAAATATGTTATGGTGCGAGAACTAAAACCGAGAAGAAATGGAATCACAATAAAGAGGAATGAATTTGGACTCAATATGTTGTCGTGAATAAGGTTTTATATTCATTCGTTTTGTGTGTGTGTGTGTGTGTGTGTGTGTTCACTACTCTTTCAGTCATGCCGAGCAACCCTTTAATGTGAAACTAAATCGAGCTTTTCTGGAATGAATTATGTTGCACTAAAACAGTGACAATGTGGAGATAACATGAATGTTTTACAGTAGAATGAAGTGTGTATATGTTGAAAACATGACTTTTAATGAATAAAATCAGCTGTCAGCAATACTAAACAGTGTCTCGAAGTGCATCTAATGGTCTAAATGTCATTACCAGACTTCAGAACATACAAATTCAACCAGACGGCGTTCAGTTATGATCCATAAACGGACCATTAGCTGACACTATTCACATGCTCAAATGGGACCAAGTGGAGTTTTCCGACCCTCTGGCTTTCCACCTGTGCACTCTTTCATTTGGGACCATTTGTTTCACATCCCTACTTCAGAATCTGACACCGTCACCACAGGGGTCTTTTGGTTATGGGTTGAGTATATACAGCACAACTGTTCACTCCATATTTTATCATCCTCATTCTGTCATTTCAAAGCTCTTGAGTTTCTCAAGACAGGATTCTCTGTGGACCTGTATTTATAAAACTCAGGCATAATATGAGAACGATTGGTAATTTGTTGAATGCTGAGCAGGAGTAAAGCTCAAGGAATTTCTTCAGGTTGGGTAATAACTGATTTTGTTCAGCATCAGATTTAGGATGAAACTGTCATATCCTAAAATAATCATCACATTATGCTATTCATGAACCTTTATCCTTGCTTCTTACTTTGTGATTTGCCTGATTAATTTACACTTAATTTAATACATCTTAAAAATTCAACATCAAATTCTTCAAAATATATAAAGAACACACCTAGTTTTAAAACATAATTTTGAAGGTTGTCTTTATTTACTGAGAGGTTTAATTTACCAGAATTTCTTTCCCTCTTTAAAAGATATATATTATTTGTGTATAATTTTGATTTTTTTTTTTTGTTATATTTTGTTTTAAATGCCAAAAGCCATTGTACCCAATGCATTTTCGAGAGGGATAGTTTTTTACAATAAATAAATGAAAACATCAAAATGTTTGGATTATTTAATCTTTTTAAAGTTTTTTTTTTTTAAAGTCTCTTATGGTCACTAATACTGC